ACATTATAATGTTCGGTTCAGGTTTGGGTCGGATCGACTTGGACCTGGATCCAACGTAGGTCCAGGGTTTTGGACCTAGACCCATCCTACCGGCTCCAAAATTTAGACCTGCACCCTGACCATTGTTGAAAATCAAGTACTCTTGCTCTCTCCTCTACTACAAGTGATCTTTGATGAAGCACAAGTGTACCGGTTCTGGAAGATCAATGACGCTCATCAACTAGATTTGAAATTTGAGGCAAAACATTCCGGTGATAGCTCATGCAAATATGTTGATGCACGCAACTCACCCTCAAAGGGTAAAACTTCTAAATGAGCGGCTGCTGGTAAAGGTAGAAGCAACAGTAAGGATCTTTCAAAGAACATAACAACTGACTAAGGTGGTTCAGCCCAAGTGGAAAGGTAGTTAAGACAAGTTAACCAGCCTCTTACTTCCTTCAAATGTGGCCAATCTTGGCATATTGCAAGTGATAGTTCCCGACGACAAGTTGACACTTGTTTTAACATCATGGAAGAGAAAGATGTGGAAGAGTTTGTGGATGATACCGCGTAACCCATCTATGATGTTGATAGAAATTTAATACAAGAAGAGATTGAACTAGAGATTGGAGAGAATGTGGTGATTCGCCAAGTATTAACCACTCACATGGCAAACCATAGTGAGGATTGGTTGCGATCAAGCATTTTTCAAATTGTAAATCAGGTGGCAAGGTGTGCACCATTGTTATTGATAAAGTTTGTGAGATAATTATCTCATAAGAAATGAAAACTGAATCAGACACGAGACTGTATCAAAATGCATTGTTCAATAAAGGAAGTGAGGTAAAAGTGATTAAATGCTATATAGTTTCTTTTTCATCGGGTAAATATTACAAAGATGAAGTATAGTGTGAGGTCATTGCTATGGACATATGTGACATACTTCCTGGGAGACCATGGAAGTTTGATAAACGAATGATACAGGATGGTAATAAAAACACCTGAATGGGTAATGTGGAGGTCGTGCTCTTGCCTAGCAAGGAGGAGAATGCAGCTAAATCTATCCAATAGGATGGCAGTAATTTTCTACCTTGTTTAAGCTTTAGAAGGAAAGTAATGCGAGTGGGGTCATGTTTACATTGGTTGCAAAAGAAGAGATAACACCTACAAGTGTACCTTGTGAGTTGCGATCGTTTTTTAGGAGTTCAAGGACATCACACTTGATGCTCTTCCAAATGAACTACCCCTGTTAAGGGATACTCAATATCAAATTAAATTGTTACCCCATGTTAGCTTGCCAAACAGCGTACTATTGTATGGGCCCAAGGGAGCATGATGAACTTTATTAGCAAGTTGTAGACCTTCTTAACAAGGGGTTCATCTGAGAAAGCACGAGTGTGTGCCAGCATTGTAAGACCAAAGAAAGATACCACATGGAGAATGTGCATTGATAGTCGTGTTATCAACCGGATCACTATCAAATACCTACTTTCAATATCATCATTAGATGATATGTTGGATATGTTGGGGGAACCCTAGTATTTTCTAAAATTGATCTATGAAGTGGGTATTACCAAATTCAAATTAAGCCAGGTAATGAATGGAAAACTGTATTTAAGACATATGAGGGTCTATATGAGTGGCTTGTTATGCGATTCGGTCTTACCTATGCTCCTAGTACTTTCATACATATGATAAACAAGTTCTTCATCCATTTATTGGCAAATTTTTTGTTGTCTATTTGATGATATCCTTATGTATAATCATGACCTAGAAGAGCAAATTGAATACATAAGAGTTGTGTTAACCTCATTAAGGAATGAAAAGCTTTATATTCATCTTAAAAAGTGCTATTTCGTGACAAATTGCCTACTTTTCCTAGTCTTTATTTTGTCGCATACAAGTGTATGAGTGAATGAAAGTAAAGAAAATGTTATCCAAGAATGACCTACAGCTCAAAGTATCCATGATGTGCAGGGTTTTCATGGATTGGTTTCATTCTAGCGGTGATTTATGACGAATTTTAGTACCATCTCAGCAGCGTTGACTAATTGCAAGATGGGAGAATTTGAATGGTCATCATCAGCAGAGAAGAGCTTTCAACTTGTTAAAGAAAAGCTTTCTACCGCACCTATGCTCACATTGCCCCACTTTGAAAAGATGTTTGAGTTAGATTTGTAATGCTTCAAAAGTTGGTGTTGGTGGAGTACTCAGTCAAGAAAGGCATCCGCTAGCCTTTTTTAGTGAAAAATTCAATGAGGTTAGGCTAAACTACTCAACATATGGCCTGGAATATTATGCCATTATACAAGCCCTTAGGTGTTAGCGACATTATCTCCTTTAAAAGGAACTTGGACCATGATGCACTCAAGTAATCAGCAATCAAAATAACCTTAGCTAAA